AACTGTACAACTAATTATAATAAATAAAAAGGTGTTTAAAGCCACATTCAGTAGTCAGTTTAGCTAATATCCTACAGGATGTAGCTAGTTTCAGTTCTTCTATCTAACAAGAGCTTAGCTCTTTTGAGAATCCAATATCAGAATTTAAGTTGTTGGATATTATTTGAAATATATATTGAATAATAGACATTTGTAACAAAATAAGAGGTGAAAATGAATGTGTTGTGCACAAGGCTGCACAAAATATGCAAATAAAGTTGTTTTCAAATGCATTCTTTGTTAGAATGTCAGCCGTTTTGCTTAGAATCAGAACCTTTTTACGCCTCAGTTAAATATATTTTCACCTACAATCATAGGTAGTCCTATTAAATGTGAACAGAAAATATTAAGATATAATAGTTAATTGAGCGTCACACTGAAAAATGTAGAAAAATAACTTTTTTTTTTTTTATCCAGAGATAAAAGTCTTCATATTGGCAAACATTTGTAAAACAATACAGTTAAAACCATAATTGGGACCTTTAACAACAAAAAAGGTTTTATTTCTGCTTCATTTCTAAATTTATCATTACAGAAGACTTTTAATTCACAAACCATGACTTCCTGCTTCTATTTTGTAAAATTATAATTGCCCTTCAAAGCAGAAATTCTTTCATTTTTGGATTGCATTTCCTTTTTCTAATTTCCATATACAAAACATGTTCTTTGTTTGCAACAGTAATGGAACAAAATTCACTCCATAAAGGCGACACGTGTGTTCATCTGTCCCACTATTCATAAGTTGAGATATTTGGGATTTGGATTGTTTTATTTCACTGCCTTATTTTTACTTAGAAGTAAAAAAAAAAAACATATAGATCGACAACTAAAACAAGAGAATGTTGCAACCACTAAACATTTTAGAATAGAATAGAGTACAACTTTATAATAAAATATTAATAGAATATATAGACTTTATTACCTAGGCTGTGTATACTTCCAAAACAAACAAAAAAAGATCACCATCCCCTTTACTTTTTATTTACAACTAGACTACTGGAAACAATGCTGCCTCAAAGTGTTTAAAGGAATAGTACACCCAAAACATGATTAGCCTTCATTTTCTACTCACCCCCATGCTGAACAACACTCTGGAGTACTTTTTTGATATCTCAAATGCATCTGGAGATCTGGGAGGCTTCTTGCTGTCTGCTGACATTCAAATAATGGAGGTCTATGGTGCCCGAGGCAGAAAGGTCCATAAAAGTCCACAAAAAACGTGTCAATATTCCTCCATACTGCTCGTCCAATGTATTCCAAGTGTCCTGAGTGGGTAGCGTCCATAGTTTACTCGAAACGAAGTCATTTAGAATGTTTTTAGAGCATAAACAGTAGTGTATAGGATTTCCTGAAAGCGCGTTCACGAGTCTACGGAAGCCGGCAGACCAAACCAGATGAAAGTGCGCATTCAGCGTCTGCTCTGCCGATAATGCAAGCGTAGAAGAAGAAATGTGCTGTTTACCTGTGCAAAGAAAGAAACAACGAAAGAAAAATGTCTGAGGACTTCAGTGTTGAGGAAGAGCATGAATTCTTTGCCGAGCTGAATGCGCACTTTCATCTGGTTTGGTCTGCCGCGGTTTCCGTAGACTCGTGAACGCGCTTTCAGGAAATCCTATACACTACTAGCTCTAAAACATTCTAAATGACTTCGTTTCGAGTAAATTCTGGATGCTACCCACTCAGGACACTTGGAATACATTGGACGAGCAGTATGGAGGAATATTGACACGTTTTTTGTGGACTTTTATGGACCTTTCTGTCTCGGGCGCCATAGACCTCCATTATTTGAATGTCAGCAGACAGCAAGAAGCCTCCCAGATCTCCAGATGCATTTGAGATATCAAAAAAGTACTCCAGAGTGTTGTTCAGCATGGGGGTGAGTAGAAAATGAGGGCTAATCATGTTTTGGGTGTACTATTCCTTTAACTTCTGCTGAAAACAGAAGTTAAATTTCTAAAACTGACAACAGAACTATGACAGTAGAGCTGTGCATAAAGCTTTACCTTTTAGAGCCAAACATGCGCTTGTTTTGGTCCATTCTATAAAGCCTCGAACTCAACGCTATTCCTGACATTTTGAACTGAAAAAGCTTCCTGGATGGGAAGCAAAACGTCTTTAAACTTGGAAAACAAAATCCATTGGATTGTTTTTTGTTATATTTTGGAATAACTATGACCTGCATGACTAAGAATCTTCACCAGCATCAAAAAGAAAAACTGCAAATTTTTCAAACCTGGAGAAGGATTTCAAACATATCAGGACCAGATCACTCCTTAGAAACAAAAACTAAGGAAAGGATGAATAAATTAGGGATGATTCACAACTTTGGCGGCGAACTGACATATTTTCCTCTGTATCCTCACACCTCATCTTTTCACTTTTCTTCACCAGGATTGGCTTGTCTGTCTTGTTTTTTGCTCACTCACAGCTGCTGACGTTCCTGCAACGCCCTCTAATTCATTTGAATGTTTCTCAATAGTTTCACAGTAAAAGCTGACAAGTTGAGATCAGTTTCAGGTTGAAGGTTTTTATTTATCTCCTAGATGAGTAGAGTTACACATGCTGACGTACACAGAAGCAATCAGAAACATGTTATTTTACATGGAACAAACACCAACAACGGACACCCTAAAAAGACATTGACTAAAATGACACGAAGCAAACCATACCACGTGTTTTTGTTACCGTTAGTATTTACGATCAGTTCCCCAGGGGGAAACAAAGATTGTGTTTACATGTATTTCAGTTCTATGATATATTCATATCATGTTCACACACTGACTTTTGTATTAAAGTTCACACTTAAAGCTGTATAAACATGCCGCTTCTTTATTTATTTCTTCTATTTTTTTCCTAATACCTTCAGTTTCAGTTTTGTCTTAACCACTCTGCTACCAAAACTGCCTGAATTGCCTCATAACACTTATAATATAACCTATATGGCGTTACTACTTAGATTTTTTTAGCAGAGGGATTAAATACTAAAAGCAAAACAGGTGATTATATATTGCAAAAGCCCAGTATGTTAAAATATGGACAGGGAAGAGGTTAGATACGCCCTGCATGTTTGTAGAAAAGGTTTCACTCTCAATGCTGTGCTTATCGGGGTACTTATATGACCAAAAAAATACATTTCAGTGAGGTTGCCATCCAACCTGCCCGCCCAAGTTAAAATGTCATGTTGGGAGACTTAAAAAGATTAATTTCAGAGCTTTTTCCACCTTACGTGAAAGTTCTAACCTGTAAAAATAACAAGAAAAAGTTCCTTAACAGCTTTTTCTACCTGAAGTCTGAAAGTCTATTTCTACGATCCAGGGGTGAAGCTAGAAGGGGGCCGGGGGGTGCCCATGGGCAACTGTTGGACACTCCTACAAGAGAATTAATTGCTCCCTTAAGCTGGGTTTACACTGTGTGTTTTTTTTTCAGCCCTTTTTGGAGCAACTTTTCACACTGCAAAAAATGGAAATCTAAATAGGTAATTTTTGCTCATATTAAATGCATTTTTTCTTGAATTGAGGATGTAAGGGAGACATTTTGCCAATGGAACAAGACAATTTACATCTAACATAAGAAGAGAACAATTGCTTTCTCTTATTTCAAGTGTATATTATCTATTTATTTTATTTTAGGAGTAAAAATACTCATTCCATTGGCAGATCATCTTATTTACGTACTCAAATTAAGGGTAAATACACTTAATTTAAGACATTTTTTACTTATTTCTAGATGTTTTTTGCAGTGCAGTTGTGTGTCGTATATAATGGGGGGGTAGCAAGGGGCGATCAGCCTCTCGCGACCACGTCCCGATCAGGAATCATGAGCGTCGTGGGCAAATCGCTCAGTACGCAAACAAGGATTCTTCTTCTTCCTCTCAGATAAAAACACAGAAGCACGGCGGTGATGCAATGACTGAAATTGAGTTCTTTCTGTAAAATTGACAGATCGCAGTAGCCGCGTTTGCTCAGCCATGTCTTTGTCCAAATACGTCATCATCTTTTCGTTTTAGTGCTTTTGGCACAAAATTGTACAAATAGCCAAGGCAGCGCGTTTCACTTTAATGAGCTTCATATTCCTCTCCTACTCGTTTGGCTTCAGGATAGACGAGTAGCGCCATCTAACTGCGGAGCTGAGTCCAGCGTGGTTTTTAGACGTACAGTCTGAGCAGATAGATCGCATCAGAGCGTCGTGCTGCATAGTGTGATAACATAGTGAGCTGTAACTACGTGCAAAAAAAAAACAATCGCACAGTGTTTGCCGGGCTTTAGGAACATACTTCACCACCACCAGAACCAGCAGTTCCCCTCTAAACCAGAGGGTGGCAGCAGTGATCATATCCGGTGGAATTTCTCAACTACCGGGAATTCCTTTTTTCTTTTTTCCATATTCTTTTTTCCCCCTATATTGACCATAAACTGACAATAGAATTACATCAATTAGTGATTCATGTCAATATGCCGATATAAAAAAATAACCTGTGCTTTTTTGGTAATAAGGTTTTTTTGCTTAATGGGAAAGAAGGAGATTGTTTTAAGTGTCTGCCCCTATCAACCCCATGGCATGTGTATCTTATGCAGAATAATAATATATTTATATTATGGAGGGTTAAAGAAGACAAAATAAATCAGATAAATATAGCATGGAATAAATAGGTGTAAATGTATTATTGAATAAAAAAAGTACCATGAAATAATTAAATGTAAGATTAGATAAATAGCTGTACCATTAAATATTTCATTAATTTGTTTAATATTTCATTAATTAACTTAATTTATTATTAATGAAATGTAAAATTAAATAAATTAATATACTTTTGAAATTATGACATAAAAAATTTAAACCAATCTTCAACATTTATGGCTGATGGTTTTTATTTTTACTTTCATTTTGTAGTCACTTCTACTCGGTGCACATTTAATTATCCTATTTGTGTTCTATGTTTAGTTTTTGTTCTATTTATATTCTTTTTCTGTCTACATTTTTGGAATAAAATAGGCATTAATCCTCTGATGGGGTTGGGTTAGATGGGAAGGAGGGTTTGGAAAATTGAAAATTGTAGAATGGAATTTCACTTCCCTTCTATGTTATGATCTATGACACTTCCTACAATACAGAAAATTAATAAAAATAATATTAAATGTGATTTTTCATAAATTAATCTCCATATATATCGTTATCACTTATTATTTATTTATTTCAAGGCTAACGCCATCATTTATAAGCTAAATTTAGTTATTTAACTTTACATTTCATAATTTAATGGTACATTTTATTGTTAAATTATGTGCTTATGAAATGCTACATATGCATTTCATTATTTAATGGTACATTTATTTACCTCACAACAAACTGACATCTTTTTGTCCCCCTTAAGCCTCCATATTAGTCAAAAATAGATGCATACACATGGAACATTTAGCTCAGGCGTGGAGGTTTTTCTTAAATAAAAATATCAGGCCCTATCATATGAGGAACATGGGAGATTGCTGTCACATGTGCGGCAGTAGCTCCAGTCCTGTTGCTATGAACCTGTTGGAGATAACGATGAAGGACCCACTGTGTCCAGGGACACTATGAGTGAACGGTTTTCACTTTGTTCCATGTTATATCAAATGCATTTTGCACCCTTCTCCCAAAAATATGCCCTTGATGCTTTGGAAACTCTTTGGAAACTCTGTGGAAAGCATTGCTGGTACTGTAAACTGTGACAAAGAGGAGCTGAACTTTATCTGGGGTTAACCAAAGGCATGTTAAGAGATGGAAGGCATGTACTGACTTATACTGAGTCTGAATGTGGTGGTTACACAGACCAAGTTGGAAAGAAGGTGTTTAGCCCAATAATTAGGTTCTGTTTATATATATATATATGCTTTGTTAACCAGAGCTGTGCAGCTTCCAGCTGGTGGTAAAAGTGGAAAAAGTTATGAAATATTTTTCTTTTTGTTTAAATGACAACTTTTCATTTTAACTCATGGCTTCTTATAGTCAGTGTTTCTCCTATTGTTCATCTATCACCGTGCTAATCTGTCCAGAATCCTTCTGAAAGCATTTCTCTTTAAAATGCAACATCTAAAAAAAAAAAGGAATTGAGGTGGTGAAATATGACCAAGACATGAAGACAGAGTATAGCTAGAAAGACAGGGGGGAGGAGGGGTGGGGGATCTGTACAGGGAAACTTAAAAGGGCTCATTTGGTTTTCTCAGATGTTGAAGCAGCAGTCGCTGGTTCTGTTTGGACCCCAGCATCTGTAGAGTGGCGTTTCTGACCCTACAAAAGCAGAGAGGGGAGAAAAACTGTAAATTCCTGTTCAGTGTGAAAAAAAAAAGTCTGCATGACTATATTTAACAACAGGAAATGACCTCTTATACCACTGTTTCCTTAAACTGCACTGCAGAGGCGCTGTTTATTGAACAAGAAGAGCAACAAAAAAACATCAATGCTGGCAACAAAGTGAAGTCTGTTCACTTTAATTCAGTATTACTGTACCAAAGCACTGCTGAGCATGAAAACGAAAGTTGTGAAACATGAAATGGCACGCCAGGCTGCTTTTGTTCTCAGCAGAGCATGGCCTGGGCTTTAAATAAGAGAAGAAATAAGATGCTGCCATCTAGTGGGGAAAGGAGGAAATTGAACTACGGATTTGTCAAACAAATGAGATTCAAATGCAGAAACAGTGAGAAAGAAAGTAGCCTGCATCCTTTAGGTAGAGGGTGTACCTTTGTAATGCAAGTTGGTGTGTTGTTGAGAACACAAGAGAATCATAAAACACTAATATTTATATTTATAAATAGTTAGAGAGATGCCTTTTAATGCATTATATATATAGGGCCCAAAAACATTAATGTATATATATAAAAAAAAGAATAACAGGCGATTCCAATGCAAAAATCGATATATCATGCTTCCCTAGAAGTACAATTTCAATTCCATCCATCCAGAAAAATATGGATATGTTTCATTTTAAATATAGCATGGCCTATTTTTTTCTTGTAAACTTGGAAATATATTTTATTGCGTGTGTTTCATCTTAAATCTGCAGCTCTCCCTACTTCTCTTTGTGCTCTGTTTAAAAAGATTAATGAACCTCTTTACTTATATATTGATTCCAGAAACAATATTTAAAGATATGTAGAAGCTCTGCAGTCTGATTCTGTCTGCACAATTGGAAAACATGTTAATTTTAAGCTGTAACTGGGAGTCATGGTCCTCCGAGAAGCCCAGCTTTTATAGTAAAAAGGAGCAACATTTAAACTTCTTGCATTACAATACTAGCTTGTATATATATCTGTTGCTGTGTGTCTCTCCTCCAACCACGTAGCTACTATGTATGTCAGTGAAATCCGATGATGTTACACCGAGAGGTGGGAAAAAACACAGTTAGCTGCACACACCTTCTGCTACCTTGGGCTCAGGTAAATGAGCAGAAAGGGGAAAAAAATAGGAAATTATTGGTGGATACTGTTAACCTGACTCCGCCAGATGGATTTGCTCCGCATTTCCATCTGGAAACCTTCCGTTGAAGTAATTTTGGGAAGGGGCGAAAATACTGGTTAGCTGATTGGCCTATGCTGGTGATAGACGGGCCAAATAAACCAATCAGATCAACGAAGCATATGACGTACTAACAGAGCGACGACGAAGAGGAGTCAATTGATAGATCAAACTCTTGCCGAAACCAGTCGGGAGAAGAGCAAAAACATCTTTTCCTCTGAGAAAAACCTCCAGAGCAGTGTTTTGCTCTTCTTTCAGTGAAGAAATACTCGATACATGCTCGATAGCCACGCTAACGCTAGTTTCATCGGCTGAAGCCGCCATGTTCTTTAGACTGAACTGTCGCGCTTCTCGTTGCGTCACACCTCAACCCGCCTCAAAGCCAACGCTGATTGGACGTTCGTTTGGTGAACGGCTCCAAATTTTCTTCAACGAAGAGTCTCCAGACTGATCTGCGAGTGAAACCTTAAAAGCTTGCGAGATCAGAATGGTCTCACGAGGCTAGGATTCTGTCCCCACCAGGGCAAAGTTGGTGGGGATATGTCCACAGCAGTCCTTCAGAACGTTACGCCAGTGTTGTAGGTCATTTTTCCTTCAGCAGCTTGCAGAACCATCTCTTGCAGCAACTGAACCTGAGTAAGGACCATTGTGAGCAACATCAGATGCTCACGTTTAGGCCAAACACCAATATTAAACTTAAAAAAATATTCTTTCTATCATTATTTGTGAATATTAAGCTCTAAAGAGAAGCACACTCTCTTGGTCAGACCCTATAATTCATTGAAAGGGTGGAGTCAGAGTAATAATATATGCATGCCAGGAGAGGGTCACTCCAGTGGCTGCTGTTCGGCTGGCATTTGACTGGGAAGGGCCATTTTGAATTAGCCTGACGTAGTCCTACTCAATTCTAGTCAGAATGAGTCTGATGCTGCTCCATAGAGCTGTGATTATGGGGCGTGTTTCGAACGAACCAGGAAGAAAAATGCCTCTGCACTCAATTGGATAGACCTACAACCAATAAGAGCAACGGAGTGCGTGACGTATGTTAAGCGACGCATAGTTGTTGTCAACAAAAATCAAAGCGTGCAGTTGCACGCCTAGAATAAGAAGATGAGCCTTGATCGCGTTTCTCTGTTCCTCTTTTAAAATTAATTTGCTGTCGATATCTTCTAGAACAGACCTAATAGCAGAATCTACACACCTCAACTCTCCAGCGGCAGCCATTGTTGTTGTCACCCAAGCGCGCTTTGGTGACGTGGTTGATTACGTTACTGTTGATCATCTGTCCATCATCGTATAAAGCCCGCCCTGACAATTTGATTGACCCGCCAGATATTGTGCTAGCATACTCGCGCTACTATTAAGCAATGCCAGACCGAACTTCCCGACCTCATACGTTGTGGGTGGGACTAAGTTCGGAATGGCACCCAGGCTAGTTTTGAATAATAGTCGGCCTAGAAAACCCGTACCTCTCGTTCTCTATTATAAATCCTGGTCAAAGATGAAGCTCCCCTCACCAGATTTTTAAAGAACAGCTGGATGGAGTTCCTCTTCTCCAGTTTTTTGGCCGCATTGGCTGCATCGTCTCCAGCCGGAGAGGCCGCAGACGCCGGTTTGCTATCCGCAACAACCTCAGACGGCTTGGCTGCAGCTTTTGGCTCCTCCTTAGCTTTCACTGGCTGAGGGGACTCTGCTGCGGCCGGTGGGGTCGGAGACGTCTTCTTGGGGTCAGCAGCCTGTAAGGTGTGGCATAAACTTTAGCTCTGCCTGTTTCTGTGTCTGTTTAGAGGGAAAGTTATTCCAGCTCAGAGTAGGAACTCCGACGGCACATTTTGAAGACGTAGGACTGCTGTTAGGACACAGCTTAGATTATGAAAGACGAGCACACACGCTCTGACAAACTGTTACGGCTTTTGAATGTGAAAGCAAACAGAGACACTTCAGGTAAAAATAAGCTGTTTAGAGGAAGTTTTAATCTCAGATGACATTATTCTGGTTAATAATGCATCTATTCACACAAGGGATGATTTTATTTACCAGGCCGGTCGATTTCTTGAGGAGACGAACTCCACTTGTGGAGGCTGCTTGGACTTTTGTGGTCATGGTATCTAACAGTGCCTCAAGTTCACATCAATCTGTTACTCGCTTATACCTACAGCTATTCAAGGGTTTTGAAATCCGAAGTGAATTAATTCTTACTTTGGGCTTGAAGAAAGACATGAAGTGTGATTTGGAGGTTTGCTTCTTTTCCTCTTGAACGGGCGGAGGAGGTTCTGGCTTCGCCGCTGCCTCCAGAGTGCTGGCTTTGGAAGGATCCACCTTCTTTTGTCAAAACAGAAAAGAAAGACAACAAAAAACATGAGACATGCACAAACCAGACGTCACTGGAGCTGACAGAGTGAAAACCAGAGCTGCCACCTGCGACTCGAAAGAGGAGCAATTCCAATCAGAAACGAGCGAAAAGATAAAGGTTCCTGAGAGAGTAAGGAAGGCCAAACAATCAATCATGGCAACAACAAAAGGAAGTAGGGATGCACGATATAATCGGCCCCCTATCGGTATCGGCCTTAAAACTGAATATCAGACATCGGCCACCCCACCGATATTTAACCCGATATTTGATCAGCTTCTGAGTTTCTAAAGTCTAAAAAAAAATAAAAAATAAATACTACTTCTTCTCCCTCAAAAACTTCTTTTTTACAGACTTAAAAACTTCTAAAGACGAGGGAAAAAATATTGATACATTAAAATATCCCAATATCTTCATATGCTGATATATTGCCATTTAAAAACACCATATCAATCTCTTTTACTAATGAAATATTGCTATATGTCATCGTTATGCTACGAAATCCCCCGAAAATTCACGAAATGTTGCCATATTTTTATATGTTCATATATTGACGCGGTATCGATCTATTTTACTGACAAAATCTCACAAGAACTTGCAAAATATCACGAGAGTTTGTAACAGAACGATGAAATTTCACGAGATTTTGAAAGTAAAATAGATCGATACCGCGTTTTTAAAAATCTATTTGATACCAGCATATGAAAATATATTTGAGTATATTATTTTTCAAAGTGTCAGAAATGGATAACAAAACTGCCATTTTCAATGACTACTTATTTTTGTCCAGCTTTAACATCGGTATCGATATCGGTTATCGGCTACATGAGTTTTAAAATATCGGCATATCGGATATCGGCCAAAATCCCAATATCGTGCATCTCTAAAAGGAAGGATTCCCAGAAAACATGTCAGTCTTAGAAAAAACAGATTTCCCACCTGCAAAGATTAGAAGGCTGAAAATTTGGGGAAAACAAACATTTTCTGGCCGAAAGTAAAAAAAAATCTGTGTAACTGTCAATATAATATAAAAACAAACATCAAATCAAATTTATGTTTCTAAGCTTGAATCTACTAAAAAAAGAAACATTTGAGACATCTTATAACGACAAATACAAAAACCACTGAGCTTTTGCCTTAATGCAGCAGATAATGTAGCTGGTTCCTATCAGTGGCTCAGGTTGTAATAAATCACTGTGATAGAATTGAATTAAATATCATGTAATTTTGAACAAAATGCCTTATTTTCCCCAAAATCTCAAACCTTCGCATAATTATCTCTACCTGCTACCGATCTATGGTACATATTCCACCAATTTTCCCACTGAAAAGAATGAAAATATCCTTTTTTTTGGTCCCACAGTGTTAAATTTCAAGCATGTCGATGCAAAGAAGGAAATATACAAACGAAAGCCTGAAAGAGAATGCCGAATATATTTTACGTTTTTTTTTGTGGAAGGTGTTTATAAAGGATTTCTTGTGCGAGAAAGTATGATCACACACAAACCTGTTTCTGGAAAAAGTCTGAAGGATTTAACTTATGACATCATAGATCTACGGAGCCCCTCTGATGACATGGTCAAAAAAATGTTTTAATTGTGGCCACGAAGTAGTATTTCGTGCGCACGAAATACTACTTCGTGGCCACGCAATAAGTTTATCGTGCGCACGAAATACTTATTAATTATATCAATAAATCCGCCCCTGTTTTCAGGCTAATGTTAACTGTAATGACTTATCTTGGACAGGCTGCTATGTAAACGGGCCTTTAGTCCTTCGTTTAGCTATGCTGCGGTTGTTTACACTAAGCCTTTTCCACCTAAAATGGCGTCTTAGCAACAAATGTCACGTGACTGGCGGAGACCGACTGGGTAAGTAAATCGAGCGCGCCTTAGACCTTAGAGAAGGCGCGCTCGATTTGCTTACCCAGTTGTCCAGGAATGATATTAATATTATTAATAAGTATTTTGTGCGCACGTTAAACTTATTGCCTGGCCACGAAGTAGTATTTCGTGCGCACAATAAACTTATTGCGTGGCCACGAAATACTACTTCGTGCGCACGAAATACTACTTCGTGGCCACAATTAAAAGGTTTTTTTGACCATGTCATCAGAGGGGCTCCGTATAGATCCACTTAATTTGAAAAAAAAAAAACATGTTGAAAAATTAGACTTTTTTCTAAGGTAAAGACTTTCAATTTAATATTTAGAAAAAAACTCTTTTTTTCAGGCGAGAAAATGAACCATTTTCTTAGTGAGGATCAGCTGTGGGTTTAATTTAATTAATAAATTGTTTTTTTTTTATGTTCATCACGAGGGCCTTATATATAGTAGTATAAAATAATGAAACATTTAACCCTGGAGATATAGAAGTGATTCCATCCTCTAATTCACACTCTAAGGTGCAGAAATGCTTTGAAAGCATTTTGGGTTTATTTATGGAGTTCTCTGAAAAGTAAGGCTAGTGTTTCAGTTTTGTTCATGGCTGTTTAATGTATTTGCCATCTGGATACTTTTGCTGCTTAAAATGGCCGCAACACCACATGGAAAACCCTGTCTTGCTCAAAACGCTAACAACCTAGTAGCAAAAAATGAGATTATCTTAAATGAAGTCAGAATTCCGGTAAAAGGTCACAAGTGTTAAAAAAATGACTCATAAGAGCAGTTTCTCTGACTGTGACTAACTGGATGTGCTCTCTTTATCCTCTGACACGGGATCTGGCTCCGAGCTCGTCTGCCTGGCTGTGTGTTTCATGGACGGGGCCGCCTTTTACAGCTGCCTTTTGTATCTCTGCTTCTGTCTCCTTGAACCCCAGTCGGCCTCAGCAGATGGCCGCTCACACTGAGCCTGGTTCTGCTGGAGGTTTCTTCCTGTTAAAAGGGAGTTTTTCCTCTCCACTGTCGCTACAAGCATGCTTGGCGTGAGGAATTGCATTCGAGTCAATGAGTCGATGCAATCAACTGGTTTTCCTTAGATAGAAAACTATGAATCAGTTTGCAAAGTGCCTTGAGATGACATGTGTTGTGAATTGGCGCTATAGAAGTAAACTGAATTGAAATTTTAGAACTAGAGTTAACTAATAAATCAAACTCTCACCAAATCCGGTCGGGAGGAACCAGCAAAATTCTTTCCTCTTCACAAAATCAAAACCTGGGTCCTTTGCTTGATTTTTAATAAAGAATTAGAGGGTATTCCTGCTAACCCTGATGCAGCCATCTTTGTTTTGCTTCAGCTTTCAGCCTTTTGTTGATGCATTGACATCATACATGTCACTGCATCTTATTGGTCCTAAAAATATGTGTATTGTGACAAATGCATATTTTGGCTTCTGCTAAGATGTATTTTCAGGTGAAATCTCACAATTTATTTTGCTTGCATGTTAAAGTTGTATGCGTGTTTTAAATAATCCTTTGACTTTATTATTCGTGTGATCTTCTGGCAGAATTCTACATTCATTTTTATTTATTTATTTGTTTATTTAACAGGGACAGTACAATTAAACATTGCAACCAAACAGGTGGCCTTATGTACAAGTACATAAGGCCTGTAGCCATGGGCTAATTTGCAGCCTTCGTCCCTGGTTAGGCTTTTAAAAGGTGTTAGCATTGAGGGGGAGGGAGGTTAGTAACACACAGATGCATAAAAGAAACAAGAGAAGTTAAAACAAAAAAAAAAAAATTTACAGTACAAGCCAGTTTAGTTCTCACACTCTTGATTGTCTTTGAGACATTTTTTCAATCTTGTGGAGAAAAGTCGAACATCAGTCATAATTGTCTTAGCTTAGCATTCTTGTTTTTATAGCTCCCCTTGCAACTGAGAAATGCAAGGATCAGTGTCTTATAGACAGCTGGGGCTCAAAGCTTATAGAGGTTCTTTATGTTTTTGCTTGACAGAGATCTAACTTATATTTGTTGAATTGTTTCAATTTTTAGAAATGCTGCATATATACAGTAGAGTTCAAATTGTGTTTATTTGCAAAGGCATAATATGAAAATTATTTCTTTATGGATTTTAGCCTTTTTTACAGAACTTTAAGGGGGGCTGTGGTGTTTTTGTTTCATATTTTGCTAATTGGCACAACATTACATTCTGTTGTATTTACATTTGTTCAAACTTTTGCAATCTTTTTTTTCTGGAAACAGGATTGTCAGTGAGACAACAGAGATTTAAAGTGATCTTTTCAGCAAAGCTACCTTAAAGGGGCATGCAGAGTGAAAAATAGAGAAAAGAATCATCATCCCGGAAGCCATCTTGGATGATTACCTCCTCTTCACCAACTTGTTTTGCCAACTCCACAGCAGTTTCCTGTGCTTTTACCTTATAATTCAGTCATATCAGCAAATGCATATTAATTGCAATATATAATACTTTTAAACTTTTGTACCAAAAGAATTTCATTCTTTTTTGTTTGTTTACCTGCACCTCTACAACAGGCTCTGGTACCTCCACAGCTGTCTCCTGCAGAGTGAAACTATTTTTATATTCTTAACCCAGGTATATCAAGATAAAAATGATAATTATTATATTTGTTAAAGGAATAGTACACCCAAAACATGATTAGCCTTCATTTTCTACTCACCCCCATGCTGAACAACACTCTGGAGTACTTTTTTGATATCTCAAATGCATCTGGAGATCTGGGAGGCTTCTTGCTGTCTGCTGACATTCAAATAATGGAGGTCTATGGCGCCCGAGGCAGAAAGGTCCATAAAAGTCCACAAAAAACGTGTCAATATTCCTCCATACTGCTCGTCCAATGTATTCCAAGTGTCCTGAGTGGGTAGCATCCAGAATTTACTCGAAACGAAGTCATTTAGAATGTTTTTAGGGCATAAACAGTAGTGTATAGGATTTCCTGAAAGCGCGTTCACGAGGCTACGGAAACCGCGGCAGACCAAACCAGATGAAAGTGCGCATTCAGCTCGGCAAAGAACTCATGCTCTTCCTCAACACTGAAGTCCTCAGACATTTTTCTTTCGTTGTTTCTTTCTTTGCACAGGTAAACAGCACATTTCTTCTTCTACGCTTGCATTATCGGCAGAGCAGACACTGAATGCGCACTTTCATCTGGCGCTTTCAGGAAATCCTATTCATTACTGTTTATGCTCTAAAAACATTCTAAATGACTTCGTTTAGAGTAAATTCTGGACGCTACCCACTCAGGACACTTGGAATACATTGGACGAGCAGTATGGAGGAATATTGACACGTTTTTTGTGGACTTTTATGGACCTTTCTGCCTCGGGCGCCATAGACCTCCATTATTTGAATGTCAGCAGACAGCAAGAAGCCTCCCAGATCTCCAGATGCATTTGAGATATCAAAAAAGTACTCCAGAGTGTTGTTCAGCATGGGGGTGAGTAGAAAATGAAGGCTAATCATGTTTTGGGTGTACTATTCCTTTAAATGCTTATTACACTAGAAATTATGCACTTACTCTAATGTACAAACAAACAGCCTCTAAAATTACCTGTACTTCTACAACTGGCTGTACTTCTACTTCAAAAGCTGGCTGTGCTGCATCCTTGACAGCCTGTAGAAAATCAAAGGAATGCTTAAGTTTAGTTAAATCTGCTACTTTAAAATCCTTGTTTGATTGTGTTATTCATTGCTTATTTTTGTCAAGTATGCATGAAGTAGAGAAAGAGGAATTCACTCTGCCATATAAATATTTAGGTTTGTAGGTAAATCCAGATGGCATTAGCTTTCAAGACACACTTTTGCTGATGACATCTGAATTTAAGTGTAAGAGGATATAGCTTTATTTGCACTTAATTGGCAAATCTTGTTTGGCTTTTGCAAAAAACAATTTCTTATTAACACTTACTAGTTGAATTTCTGAGGTTAAAAGCAATTCTTTGCAAATAAAAAGAATTTCATACCAATAACTTATCGAGAAACACATTTTCTATTTTCTCTTTATTTTCCGCAAGTTCTAAATATAATTACTGCCATACACCTCAAGGCACAGGGGTACTGCTACTGCTGGAGATAAGACAGAATTTAACTGCTTTTTATTGCGTTTAAATCTGCATGTATGAGAAACAGTACATGCACCAACACCGCCCATGTCTCTACAATATTGTCAGAAATCTCCAGTATAATCTACTCAGACTCTGTGATTTTTAAACCTGCCAAGTTGAGGCTTTAACCTGTTCCTCTCTGCACATCGGTCAAGAGAGTTTGTAAAGGGAACAATTTATGACTAGGTAAGATCGAAATAAAGTTGAGCTTTACTGCACTGCAAAAACGATCTAGAAATAAGTAAAAAGTTCTTAAATTAAATGTATTCACCCTTAATTTGAGTAGGTAAATGAGATAGTTTGCCAATGGAATGAGTATTTTTCCTCTTAAAATAAGATAATTAGATAATATGCACTTGAAATAAGACAATGTAATTGTGTTTTCTTATTTTAAGTGTAAATTGTCTTGTTCCATTGGCAAAATGTCTCTTTTACCTCCTCAATTCAAGAACAAATGCACTTATTTTCAGAAAAAAAATGACTTATCTAGATTTCGATTTTTTCCAGTGCATCTGTTATATCCGGGGGCAGATCTTGGAGGCAGCAGTCTATGTAAAGATGCCCAGACTTCCCGATCCACACACACCTCCTCCAGCTACTCTGGGGGGCCCCTGATGCGACATAGTCAGAGACACAGTCCCTCCAGCCTGTCCTGGGCCTCCTCTCAATAGGGCAAACCTAGAACACCTCCTGAGGGAGGCGACCGGGAACTGATTCCTGAGCCACCTCAGCTGGCTCCTTTCGACGTGGAGGAGCAACGACTCAACTCCGAGCTCCTCCCGGGTAACTGAGCTCCGCCCGGGTGACTGATCTCGAAGGGTGCGCCCAGCCACCCTGCGAAGGAAACTCATTCGGCCGCTTGCATTCAGGATCTTGTCCTTTCAGTCATTGCCCAGATCTCTTGACCATAGGTGAAGGTGGGAACGTAGATTGATCGATAAATCGAGAGCTTTACCCCCAGACTCAGCCCCCTCTTCACCACGACAGTCTGATACAGCGACCGCATCACTGCCGATGCCGCAACGATCCGTCTATCGATCTCACGCTCCTGAAGAGGGTAGTCCACCTCTTCATGCCAGATTAGCATTAAAATGCTAAGAATCTTTTTTTTCTACTTAAAACAGGATAAAGGTGACTTTATGAAAGTGCTGCATCAGCTAAGAAAGAAGATCTTTCCGCCTCCTTCAGACAAACCAGCTTCACTGTAAAAAATCTAAGTCTAGATAAGTAATTTTTTTTCTTAAAATAAATGCATTTGTTCTTGAATTAAGGAGGTAAAAGAGACATTCTGCCAATGGAACAAGACAATTTACACTTAAAATAAGAAAACACAATCGCATTGTCTTATTTCAAGTGCATATTATCTAATTATCTTATTTTAAGAGTAAAATTACTCATTCTATTGGCAAACTTTCTAATTTACCTACTCAAATTAAGGGTGAATACACTTAATTAATGACATTTTTACCTTTTTCTAGATCGTTTTTGCAGTGTTCTGCCCAGATCACAGCCAGATGAGTCAGTTTGAGGGTTTAATAAACTACTGTATAAATGTTGCGTTACTAAATGAAACACTTGGCTTTGACCTTTCTCACCTTATATCAGTGATTTCAATGAATCTCTAATGAACATTGTGTAAATGTCTTCATATTTGTAGTGACTGAATCTTCACATATTTCTTTACCTTTGATCGGAAGAATTTACTCAGAGACGATTTTCCTTTTGAGGACTCGGGTTCTTTGGCGGAAGCTTTCGGTTCTTCTTTTTGCGTCGGCTTTACGGCTTTGGCAGCTGATTCTCCTTTGGTTTCCAGCTTTGGCGGCTCTGGGGGTGGTGGGGGTGGAGCAGGCATTCCTTTGGGTGCTGCAGGCTGCTCTGATGTCTGTGCAACCTGTTCAGAACACAAAATAATCCTTTAAACAATCCCTTTTGATAAATATTGATACAGAGCTAACAACACAGTAATGTTTAACAGTAAGCAGAGTTTGAGACGGAAAGCTTAATTTTGTTAACATTTCTGTGGAACTGATATGCTGCTTTGGGTTATATGCTCACAGTTGTGGTCGCTGCAGGTGGGGTCTCCTTCTGCGACTATTTAGCAACGAAAAAAGAAGCAGTTAAAAATATGGGGTTAATAAGAAGCAAATAAAAATGTTCATTTTCCACTTTTTTTATGTGGCAAATATTTAACTTTCTGTAAGTTATGTGAAATTATATCCAATCACAAAGAAGGCAAAAAGTTGACCTATACAGAGTGAATTTTGTTCCAGTATTGTTGCAGCAAAGAACACATTTCATAAAAAAAATTGAAAAATAAATACAATCTAGAAATGAAACTCTGAAAAAGATCTTGATAAAAAAAAAAGGCTTTGAGAATAACTTTGCTGTTTTTTTTAATTAATATTTGTGCCATATTCTATCTAATGTTAATTTTATATTTTCATTTTTTTTAATGATTGTCTTCTTCAGATTGAGATTCAGATTTTATGAATGGCATTCTATTCATATTGAATTTCATAGATCACGTCGTCCTCAATTCTGGGGGCGGGCCTTCCCTGGAGTGAGGAGCGAAGAAGCATTTCTATTGGTCTGCTGGACGGTAGCAACAACATCTTTATTGGTTAATTTGCACGTCAAGAGCGAGAAATTGTATTATGCTTGAAGTGAGGAGAATAAGAAATGCAATGTGAGAAGAATGCAATTAATAAAACTCAGTCTGAAACTGAATTTTGAAAAAATTACATTTGAAAAAAATTATTTATTAAAAAAGTGAAATAAAGTTACTCTCAAAATCTGTTTTTTATTAAATTATTTTATCAACTTTCTTGTATGGATTGCATTTATATTTAAAATTTCCATACAAACCGTGCCCTTTGAAACAAAAATGGTACAAAATTCACTCCATAGAACAAGATTTTCCAACTGAAATTCCCAGAAAGTTGTTCGCTACCGAGAAAAACAACAATATTTCTTTTGAGCAGGTGAATAAAATAATCCATCAATTGATTACATGGTTTTGCTTGTAATATAAGATGAATAAACATTATGCATTTGAAAACAGTTATTTTTCTCTTTTTAAAATACAAACTATCCCATTTAACTGGTAAATTAATGCTCAAATTATTGGAAAATACAAGATATTCCAAGAGAAAATAACCTCACTGGAAAAAACTGAAATGTAGATGAGTCATTTATTTCTTAAAATAAGCACTTTTGTTCTTGGATTAAGGAGGTAAAACAGACATTTTGCCAATGGAACGAGACAATTTACACTTAAAATAAGAAAACACAACTGAATTGTCTTATTTCAGGTGCATATTATCCAATTATCTTATTTTAAGAGTAAAAATACCAATTCCATAGGCAAACTCTCATTTACCGACTCAAATGAAGACTAAATGCACTTAATTTAAGACATTTTTACTGATTTCTTGATAGTTTTTCCAGTGTTTCTTGTACTTCCATTTTTGCACAGTAATTACACTGGAAAAACGACCTAGAAATAAGTAAAAAGTTCTTAAATTAAGTGTATTTACCCTTAATTTGAGTAGGTAAATGAGATGAGAGTATTTTTACTCTTAAAATTAGATATTTAGATAAAAGGCACTTGAAATAAGTCAATGCAATTGTGCTTTCTTATTTTAAGTGTAAATAGTCTTGTTCCATTGGCAAAATGTCTCTTTTACCTCTTCAATTCAAGAACAAATTCACTTATTTTAAGAAAAAATTACTTATCTAGATTACAGTTTTTTCCAGTGTATCTCCCTGCATTTTTTTCACACACTTTTTACAACTTTGGGATCATAAATCTGGTATGATAATCAGCAATTGTAGGAAAAGAAAACAGGTAGGATAATAAATCCAGCACTGATCGTCTGATCACCTGATCTTTTGCTGCATCTGGACCAGCTGTGTCCTTTTTGGATGTTTTAGTGGGAGTAACCTGTTATGAAAATGAAAAAAAAAAACAGAAATGTGTCACAATGTCCTGAACAGAACTGTAAAAAAAAAACCTTCCCAGCCAGAGGATGTGGTTGCTGTTGCACCAACTATTATTTCTATAAAACAGAAGCCTTTTTGATAAATTCAGCCCTAATGCAAAGCTCAGTCCAGCAGACAGAGTCCACACTCAGGTCCCTGACAGAGCATGTACAGTACATGCGCTGTCATTGTGACGGCCATTGTGCTCCGGAGATGGCGTAGGCCTGCCCTCGCACTATCTGCTCTCCAATCTCAACTTCCAGAGGCACAGGCCTCCCTTGTGAGCTCACCCGATGGGACGAACAATAGTCCATCACATTCCCGCATGTTCAAAGACTTGATTAGCATGGGGCTGGGGTAGTGGTAACTCTTTAAAACCTCATGCATCCAAAAGACAGCATGATGAAGAGGAAATACAATGGCTGCTTGTTGTAGGGTTTCCATCAGGCACTGTCATCATGATCCCATTTACAGTAAAACATTGAATTAGAGCTTTTATAGACTGAAATGATGATATTAGAACTTATATTTAGAAAAAATAACATTATTCACATTCTTATTTTAAATCAACAAGGCATTGCAATGTTAAAAAAAACAAACTAATTCTTTGTTTATTTTATTTTAACATCTTTTTGTTAAAATGCAATTATTACAAAATATCAGCAGTGTTTAAACCTCACTTACTAGTGTTTTAAAGAAGTTCATAACTGGGTTCTCTTCTGGTTCGCCCTCCTCTCGGTTCTCCTCAGGCTCAGCGTTTCCGTACTCTCTCTCAGGAACCGTCTCTTCCTCTGGACCGGACTCTGCAGTCGCTCCGATCTCTGGCTCAGTCACAGGTGCCGACTCTTGCGTTACGTTTGCTGACTCCTATACGCAGAGAATGGGCCTTTGAGGAGGATGGTAGAGCAGTGGAGCTGATATGCGAGGAAGCAGTGAGCGTCTTAATTGCAGCATTGAGATGGGAGGACAATTCCAACCATGCCTCTGCCTACTCGGGGCATTGTCAACAATCAGGCCTTTTATTAATGTGTGTGTGTCCCACCCCTCACTCATTGATATTCAACAATGTGTAAGAGTTATGCTCTCTGAGATATCAGGAAAGTCGACTATCGATGCCCTGAAATATTTCTACTTTCCTTTTTAGAGAGAAATACACGTAAAATGTCTCGGTTTTAAGCAAGTTTTTGTTTGTGCACAGATTTGGAGATTAAAGCTGATTCTGACTGAGGATGATTTCTGAATAGGATTTAGATTAACTGCAGTTCAATCTGAAAAACTCACACGGACAGAAAAGCCAATTAGAAGAAATGTATTGATACAATTACTTGGTGTTTGGTGCTCAGACCTCAGCAGGAAACATAGTGCTGAAGTTTGATAGATATGCATGAACAGGAGCAAAGAAAAGGGCTGTTTCCCCCCCAGGCCTGAAAATGGTGGTGGAGTGGAGATAGATGAAGTTGGTCAGTCTGTAGACTGCTGGTTGGAGAGACGGTCTCCTGAGCTTTATGGAGAGATCCAGTGGACTGCCTGAGCTGATACTACTTCACTCAGGGACATGGAAGATGGAAGTCCAGTTTGGAAAACACAGGTTAAGAAAACCTGTCCATGATGAGCAAGCATGAAGTGACAGTGGAGAGGAAGAACTCTAGCCTGGGTGCCATTCCGAACGTAGTCCCGCCCACAACGTTTGAGGTCGGGAAGTTCGGTCTGGCATTGCTCAACAGTAGCGCGACGATGCTCGCACAATATCTGGCGGGCCAATCAAATTGTCAGGGCGGGCTTTATACGACGATGGACAGATGATCAACACTAACGTAATCAACCACGTCACCAAAGCGCGCTTGGGTGACAACAACAATGGCTGCCGCTGGAGAGTTGAGGTGAGTAGATTCTGCTATTAGGTCTGTTCTAGAAGATATCGACAGCAAATTAATTTTAAAAGAGGAACAGAGAAACGCGATCAAGGCTCATCTTCTTATTCTAGGCGTGCAACTGCACGCTTTGATTTTTGTTGACAACAACTATGCGTCGCTTAACATACGTCACGCACTCCGTTGCTATTATTGGTTGTAGGTCTATCCAATTGAGTGCAGAGGCATTTTTTTTCCTGGTTCGTTCTAAACACGCCCCATAATCACAGCTCTATGGAGCAGTATCAGACTCATATTCTGACTAGAATTGAGTAGGACTACGTCAGGCTAGAAAAACTCCCCATTGGGAAGAAACGTCTGGCAGAACCAGGCTCAACATGGCGGTCTTCTGCCGGACCGGTTGAAATGAGACGCGGAATGCAGTAAGAGTCCAAGAGGAATGAAACTGATGAAGCTTTAGCTACGATGGTGGAGGAGGGGCCATCTAAGTGAAGCCACACAGCGGATCAGAGGCCGTTTAAGATGAACTTTGGATGCCGATTGGCTTTTGTGGAGGTGTGGTAAAAAGCTGATTGGCTGTGTCAAAGGTGGATGTAGGAGAGCAATCCGTTTCTTCAGTTGAAATTCCGCCTAGGTTCTCACATCTCGGCTAAGATCAAATTCAAGCACTTTCAAGGACTTTCCAGTATTGATATCCTCAGATTCAAGGTTCAAGGATAATGTGCAGAAGCATAATGTTTTTCTTTTTTATCATTATTTGCTTTCATTATGCTTTTATTTCTCTTATTTATCTAATTCATATAAAGCCCTTTGAATTATCCATGTACTGAATTATGCTATACAAATAAACTTGCCTTGCCTTGCCTTGCATTTCACAATGATTATGTACCCTGCAAAGTGTAAAGTCGTCATACGTTGACGTTAAACCTGGCTGTAGTAAACAGGAAGTAGAGTAAGCAAGCTAACTTAACTAATTAGTCTAATGCTAATATGTCTAATTTCAATTAGACTGATAAGTTTTAGTCTGAATGCCTTGGCAGTATGGAGACATGAGGAGAGAAATGCAATTCTAATGTAGCATTCAGGACACCAAGTTTTAGATCAGGAGATTGCTTTCACACAGGGGGGGATTTACCATAAAGCAATACTAGGCAGTTGCCTAGGGCTCCAAGTTCCTGGGGACCGATAAAACTCTGCTTACATTTATAGTTAATACAACTATTCCTTATTTGTGCACATTATCTATGATTTCGAAAAAATATCCTTTGGCTAAAATGCCATCAGAACGCTTACAATATTCAGTGTGTCTCAGCCCCCCCTCTTCAGTTTCGACCATATTGGATCAGTCCATTTGATGCACATGTTCAGAAAGGTCCAAACAGACAGCAGCAAACCATTTAAAAACAAACGATGAGAAGAGCAGTGTTGCAAACGTATAGCTTTTGTTGCTATATTTAGCGACTTTTCAGACCCCTCTAGCACTTTTATTTAAAAAAAAGCGCCTAGCGCCAAATCTAGTGACTTTTTTCTGCTACAGGAGACTTTGGCAACAACATCTAAAAGCAGCGAACTCTGCTCTCCAGAGCGAGCAGATTGGTAACCCCGCCTCCTGCTCTCCTCTATCTTGTTTGCTGTCATGATTCATGCAGCTATTATTTCATCCAAATGAAAAATGGAGAACAGATAAGCAGATCATGGCTTGTCTACAGTGAAAAGAAGGACTGGGTTATTTACTTTGGCCTTTTTGGAAACACAGGAAGGAGCAATCAGCTAAGTGAGCTTAGTGCTTGGAAAAAATCTTTCCTTTTGAGGCAGCATGAAAAGTCAGCTGAGTACAAAACATAGAAGAAGAGAGGGACAAAACCTAGAACAAATAACGGATGTCTATTCTATTAACATTTCTCTATCTGTATAATGGGTCTGTTTTATGTGTGGTCTTTTAAATTCAGAGGGCCCCCTGCTTTTCTTTGCCTAGGGCCCCAAATTTCCTAAATCCGCCCCTACTTTCACATTGATTGATAATTGATTGAGAATGATAAAATTCTCCAAAGCATGTAATAAATAAATGTCTCATGATATAAGTAGATTAAACATTTATCTATCCAAAACATTAAATTATAAAATGTACTATAAAATTATTAAATGTCCCATTAAATACATAAAAAGTTAGATTACACTGCAAAAAATGGAAATCTAAATGAGTCATTTTTGCTTGAATTAAGTGCATTTTTTCTTAAAATGAGGAGGTAAGTGGAATACTTTGCCAATGGAACTAGACAATTTACAATTAAAATAAGAAAAAAAATTGCTTTGTCTTATTTTAATTGCATATTAACTAATGATCTCATTTTAGGCGTAAAAATAGTCATTCCATTGGCAAATCATCTTATTTATCTGCTTAAATGAAGGGTAAATACCCTTGATTTAAGATTTTTTTTTACTTATTTCTAGATGGTTTTTGCAGTGTAGAACTAATTTAAAAAGAAATTATAAAGTGTTTTTTTTCAAAGATTCAAACATGTTATTTTAAATAAATAATGAAGAGGAATTTGGACTCGCCTGCGGAGGATCAGTGAGAACCTGACTCCCATCCAGCTGATCTTTACTTGATGCCTCATCTTCTTTCTCTCCATCCTCATCTTTCCCCTCCTCTGCTTTACGAGCTGCTTTCTTTTTGAAGAGTTTCCCAAAACCATGAGTTTTCTCCTTGTGTTTCTTGACCGATTCCTTGTCAGCGGGGGCGTCGGTGAACTCAGAGACACCTTCTGCAGGAGCTGGCTGAGGATCCGGTTCAACAATCACACTTTCCGCTTCAGCTTCTGTCTCAAGTGTTGGTGTCTGAGGCTTGCCATTCTGATGGACTGTGATGTCACTCTTCACTGCAAAAACCAAAGAAACCAGACAGACACAATGTTTATGTTGGAGATATCACTAAAACAGACTTATAGAAAGTAATACGATAGAATCTGTGCTGCTGTTTTTTAATAATTGAACAGATGTTTCTGTCTGGCATCAATGCACATGAGGATCTTAATCCACTTCCATGCAACATTTAATTGGTATTCCAATGTCTAATTCTTGGTGAAGGAAACATGGGCTAGTCAGAGGAAGAAAGTGACATCTGTGTCTCCAGGGTCAACATTAAAGCTCTTAGACAAACTTGAGAGCAAGTGGAAATAGCTCAGCACTGTTGTTGCTGCAGGGAGACAAACTTCACTGTGACAGATCAAATAGTCGCTCCCTGTCATCATCTGAGGCTACGCCTAGAGTTTACATTGCGAAATCCGACACAGAGCCCGGCTGGGAGCCGCTGTATTTGCTGAGACTTATGAGTCCGAATGGTAAATCAAACAGGGACATTTAGTAGGTCGACCAATTTAGCCTGTGAGAAACTGGGAGAGGATCATGGATACATTTCCTTGCATCGCTGTATGGAGTGAATTTTGTTCCATTATTGTTGTAAACAAAGAACAGGTTTGGAAACTGGAATTTTAAAAACATCCAATCCAGAAATGAAAATATGAACAGTTTTTTGATTAAATAAAAATGTTTTTTGAGAGTAACTTTGCTGTTTTCTCAGATTTAGTTTTTTTTCAATATATTAATTTCGTTCAGTATTTTCTTTTTTTAATTTCTTTTTCCAAATTGAGTTTTGAAATGCTTTTTTTTATTGCATATTTCAGATCACATTCCTGTCTGTTCTGTGGGGGGGGCTTTACTCAGGATTGAGCAGTGAAGGTGCATTTCTATTTTTCCATACACTGCAAAAACACTCTAGAAATAAGTAAAAATTTCGTAAATTAAGTGTATTTATCCTTAATTTGAGTAGGTAAATACGAGGATTTACCAATGAAATTGGTATCTTTACTCTTAAAATAAGATAATTAGATAATATGAACTTGAAATAAGATAATGCAATTGTTTTTTCTTATTTTAAATGTAAATTTTCTTGTTCCATTGGCAAAGTCTCACTTTCAACCTCAATTGGAGAAAAAATGCACTTACTTTAAGAAAAAATTACTTAGATTTCCATTTTTTGCAGTGTATGGACAGTAGCAACAACATTTTTGTTGGTAATTGTGCACTTTAATTTCTAGCATTTGTACTGAGCTTAAAGGTAAGAGAATGTAATATGTAAAGCCGTAAAAGTAAAAAAAAAAAAAAAAAGACTATGACCTGGATGATAGCGTAATATGTAAAGAGAATGCAATTCGTAAAACTCAATTCGTAAAACACCGTTGTTGCTGCAGGGAACAACACTGTTGTTGCTGCAATTCGTAAAACTCAATCTCGTAAAACCAAAATACAATAAAAGAAAAATTTGCACTTTAAAAAAGACAATTGTGAGAATAATTTGAAAAACAAAACTCTGAGAAAACAGCAAATCGAACCCAAACGCAAATCAAACTCAAACCCTTTTTGTATCAAAACATTTTTCAAAGTTTCTTATCTAAATTGCATATCTTCCAAATTTTCATTTAACAACACGTTCTTTGCTTGCAACAATAATGGATCAAAAATCACTCCATAATCTTTCTCATTCTGCAGGAAAAAAACAAAGCACCTGAGTCTGTATAATGATCTAAATAAAAAGCAAAGAGAAAAGTCACCATCAATCTCCAATCCGTTGGATGTAATGCCTGCGGAGATGCCGTTCACCGATCCATTTTCATGTTTTTCTGGAATCGACCCATTCTTTGGACAGATGACAAAAACAAAACAACCTTTATCATTTTCCAAAAGGACTTTCAGTGTTTCTGATGCATGCACTTTCTCCATTCTGCAGCCGGACAGAAGTCATCTGCAAAGTTTAAGGTGCTGAAAGGGTAATGGTAGGAGTAGGATTTTACCTGGTTTACCTCTTCAATAGTAGATTGTTCATTCCCCATGATGGTGCCAGTCTGAGCTTACCAAACTATCTCCTAAAACACAACCAACACAACGAGGATCCGTTTGGATCTGATCGTTTGCAGATACAATTAAAACAACATAAAACAACCTAAGGTTTGAATATTAAAAAGAAAAAACATATGTAAATGTAATTCTTAGTGTGTTTAGTCCAAATGTCTTACCGTGTGACACTATAGGTCAGGTGGCTCTGCAAGAAAAACAAATATGTTCTCGTCTGAGAGATGGATGCTCTCCTGTCTCGCTGTGTATGAAGGCTGTTATTGACTGAGTGTTTTATGTGTGCTTTAAAATGGGTGTGGCTGTTTTGAAGCAGGTAGCTGGAAAGAAATAAAGAACATAAACCCTTTCGAAAGTCTAATGTTTTCTAAGTCAGAAAATATAACGATGATGTTGTCGAAATGATACTGAAACACTAACAGGTTTAGGAAGTTTAAATGTGCAGTTCAGAGTAAAGAGGAGTTGCAGGGCAGCTTTGCTGATAACTGGCCTCCCAGAATAACAGGATACATGGAAAGGATGTTGCTCTGGCATGACTCCATCAGTAGCTTTATTAAAAATAATATGCATGTTAATGTCATCCTTTATTAACCTCTGCATTTTTACAGGAACATTTTATATTAAGTCAGTCCTTATTGAGGTTATGCATTATCTCGTTGAAAAAAGGATTTAAAAAAAAGTACATTGGTGGATTTATGTTTCTACTCGTATGCTGGTAGTGTAAATCTATAAATTCCAAAGAGATATTTTTCTCTTGCACAATTAAAATTAGCTGTTAACCTTTAGTATTTAGACAAAATAAAGTCCAGAGAAAATAAAACAGCTTTGACAAAATATAGAGCAGGTCTCGAAATAATATAAGACTATATTAATTCAATTCAATTCAGTTTATTTATATATCGCCAAACCACAACAACAGTCATCTCAAGGCACTTTACAATTCACCAGATCATACAATCAGTTTTATTCAAAGTTTTCTATCTAAGGAAAACCAGTTGATTGCATCGACTCATTGACTCGAAGGCAATCCCTCACACTAAGCATGCTTGTAGCGACAGTGGAGAGGAAAAACTCCCTTTTAACAGGAAGAAACCTCCAGCAGAACCAGGCTCACTGTGAGCGGCCGTCTGCTGAGGCCGACTGGGGTTCAAGGAGACAGAAGCAGACAAACAGAAAGCTCAGAGCACGCTCCCATGTCAAAGGATGAGGTGAGTTCTTCCAACCAGTCAGTGAGAGAAACAGGACTACACTGAAAAACAGGTTGAGCTCAAACATCTATGAACAAAGGTGTTGATGGCAGCAGCACAGCTGATATTTCTCTCCAGGATGGCGTCACTACGAGAAAACGCAAAGAGGGCTTAGCGTTAGAGCTTGAACTAACAAATTCTGTAGAGTGAGAGGTCTCTATGGCCCCGTCCACACGAAGTCAAAACGAACACGAAATGCTAATATTTTCCAGAAAGTTTGTCGTAAAGACGGAGACGTAAAATAAATGTGATCGTCCACACGAATGCATGAAAACGCTGCAAAATGTATGCCAGGCCTGTAAGTGGCGCTGTGGTGCCAAAGCAAAAATAGGCGAAAACAGGCAACAAAATGTTGGGCATGCGCACTAATATTTATACATGGTTGCCCTGCGGGTCCATTTTGGTGGTTCAGTCAAATTCAGGTGCTGAACTATGTAGTCGATATTGCTCTGTTCTTCCTGGAGATATTCCAGAAGAAGAAGATTCTGTTGTAAGCCCGACAGCAGGGTGAGTAGCATGAGCAGCAACCATTCAACACAGTACGGCGCCATTGTTGTTGTGATACTGTGTCGCGCATGCGTGTTTAGAGGCGACGCTATGACGCATGCATGTAAAAAAAAAATGCGGTTAGAGCTTAAAGATGGAAACGCGAAAACGGCGTTTCAAAATCTTCCCACTCTGAAGGCTGAATTAAAAAAAGATCGTTTACAGACCCCCGAAACGCCGGCTTCGTATGGATGAGAGGCTGGTTGGGTGAAAAATTTGTGCGTTTAGGCCAGGGTTTGACTTCGTGTGGCCGGGGCCTATGTCCTCCAGCAGTCTAAGCCTATAGCAGCAAAGGCTGCTATAGGACATTTTATCCCAGCGCTGTGTGTCCCGAACCCACAACATTATCAGTGACCACTCACACCCCCACAATGGACTGTTCTCCCTGCTGTCCTGTGGGATGAGGCTTTGCAGCATTCATTTTATTGCAAGCAGATTCCAAAACATGTTTTTTCTCCCAGAATGCTTAAATTTGATCAGGAGAATGGAAATGTCATGAGAGCTGTACAAAACAACATTTCATTCTTGTGTATACAAAATGACAATAAATGTCTAAGTCTAATCATAACTATAGAGATAGTGCAGGATAACCTGAGCCACAGTAACTATAAGCTTTGTGAAAAAGGAAATTAAGCCTAGCTTTAAAAGTAGACAGGGTGTCTGCCTCACGGACCAAAACTGGTGGTTGGTTCCACAGGAGAGGAGCCTGATAACTAAATGATGAAATTTATTTATCATAAGCAAAGAGGATGTTATGTTCATAAAAATGTGAATAAAAATTTACAAATTTGTAAATTCAAGTTAAACATTTTTACCCAGAAATATTTTTTTTCTCCATGAAATTATCTTTAAAAAATATGTGTAAAGGTCCTTATAGAAGAGTGTTTTTTATCATTCTTGTGATAGACTAATTCCATTAACTCACTGGCTGGATATTCTCATGCAACACACCTGTTTCCTGAACTCCACATTGGATTTGTTGAGACACTGCAGTCATTCTGGTATCAAGTAGGAGGACATCTGCTTATAACAGCTGAAGCTTCGCTGAAACTGGGTCAGGCGAGAAATGAAGAATGTTTGTTGAGGAAAGTGGGCTGAAATTCTTCCACAGTGTTAGGAGGGATTCATTAAGGAATACAGACCATGAGTATCGAGAATTATTGCTGCTGAAGTTGGTTCCACAATCTGTTAAACTGTAAGGTGTTCTTGCTCTTTTTGCTGTTTTTGTTGGACTTCATCTTTGTTTAATTAATAATGAAAGTGATGAATCTGCTGTGTTTTTGCTATTAAAATGGTTTTAAAACCTGATGAAAACAAGATTATTTTCTTTATGTTCAAATGAAGTCTTGAACTGAGAGAGAATACTTTCTTTTCAGATCAATAGTATATTCATTTCCACCTCTTTTGAAAAGTACGTCTTTAAAAGCCCATTTTGAACATAGTTTCTATGTTTGTTTGTTTTTTTAACTCTTATTTCTTACCTTGTAAGCAATATGAATTGTTGTGAAATTTGTAAATTCACAAATTCCCATAAATACTGTTTAGAATTCAAATTTAATTCGTATCAATCTTGCTTATGCCAGGTTAGAATGTGATCAGAATTATTGGAAGCAACACTGAGAAAATAGTCTGTGTGTTTGTTACTTTGAGGCTGGACTATTGTAATTCTTTACTATAAAAGTCCATTAAATACATTTAAATGCCTTCATCTGATCTAAAAATCTGCAGCAATAGTTATGATGAAAATTAAAAACAGAGATCATATTTCTTTTATTTTAAGCTTCCCTTTGTTAGTTTCCTGTCAAATCCAAATCCTCCTTTTCACATATAAATGGACCCAAACTAACTAAGCGCCATCTTATGTCAGAGGTCTGACTGTTCCTCATGTTCCTAAAAGAACACTTCACTAAAGAAACTTCTGGTTCTTAGAATTTCTAAAAGTTGAATTGGGGTCAGATCTTTTAGTCATCGATCTCCTCTCCTGTGGAACCTTGCTGCCGGTTTTAGTCCATGAGGCAGACACCCTGTCCACTTTTAATATTAGGCTTTAAGCTTTGCTTTCTGACAAATCTTATAATTAGAGTTGGTCAAGTTCCTGAACTTTCTCTTTAGCAATGCTGCTATAGGCTTAGGCTGCTGGAGGACATGAAGACCTCTACTCCTCACTATGATACATTCTCATTCAACATTGCAACATATTCTCATTATCAGTTCGTATGAAATCGTACAAAAAGTTATCCACAGTATTTCGTGCGTTTTTGACGTTTTTCCTCGAAAAAACAGATCAGTGCGCAGGCAGACAGATGAAAAAAGCAGATCCGCGGACGGACGTAAAACAGGGAAAAACAGTGCAATAATTACTTCTTCAGGTCTCTAACTAGGTTGCTTGCTCTTTTGTATCTTACGGTTAAGGTTAGGGTCAGGGTCAGGGTTAATTGTATGTTAAATTCTATGTTATTTAGTGGTGCGTAAGATGCGTATGCGCAAGGATACTTGTCTCGAGGCAAGACGTAAAAATACGACGAAATGCGACGAAAAAAACCTCAAAAACCCTGACCCTAACCCTAAGATACAAAAGAGCAAGCAACATAGTCAGAGACCTGAAGAAGTAATTATTGCACTGTTTTTCCCAGTTTTACGTCCGTCCGCGGATCTGCTTTTTTTGTCTGTCTGGCTGCGCATGCGCACTGATCTGTTTTTCTGACGAAAAACGTCAAAAACGTTCGAAATAATGTGCATAACTTTTCGTAAGATTTCATACGAACTGATAATGAGAATACACTCTCTCATTCTGCACTCCAATTGTGCATTATCTGCTACCTCTGTGCTTTGCCAAGCAGATAGCAACGACTTCCTTTACTTTTTCACTGAAAAGGTCAGAAACATCAAGACTAAAATCTTCTTACTCTCTCTCAGCTAGTGTTGCACTGCCCTCACAAGCCTGGTCTTCATTTAATTCAGTGTCCTTGGCAGACATTGCTGAATTATCTGCTAAAATGACCCCCACCGCTAATTTGCTTGATGTCCTCCCCTCCAAGCTTTTTGGACTCAGTCGGACCATGGGTCACCAGACTGTTTAATATGTCCTTGTCTTCTGGTGTGTTCCCCAGCTCTTTTAAACATGCCATAATAGAGCCAAGACTTAAGAAGCCCAGTCTGGACCAGTCAGAACTTAAAAACTATCGGCCAATATCTAAGCTCCCTTTTTTTGAGCAAAATACTGGAAAAAGTGGTAGCTAACCAACTGCCATCCTTCCTTCAGACCCATAACATCTACGACAAGTTTCAGTCAGGGTTTCGGAAACACCACTCTACTGAAACAGCCCTGCTGAAAGTGTCTAGTGACATCATTATGTCTGCAGACTCCGGAAGCTGTACGGTACTGGTCCTGTTAGACCTGTCTGCAGCCTTTGATACGGTCGACCATTCCATCTTGATAAACCGGC